GAAGACAAAGAATATATATATATATATATATATATATATTGTAGTGGTTTTTGTTTTAATTGGAGGAATTTCAAGGTCACTTCTATAAATTCTCATTTAACAGAAGCGAAGCAGGCTGTCTGAAAATAAATGATTTCATTTCGACCTAACGTGATCCTCAATAGCTTTACTTCGGCAAATTAGTGAGTTGTATTATTTGTTGGGATTTGTCGGACAAGAATGCAAGAGGAAGGTCGCAAAAGGTCATTAGAGGAACCCCACTCTGCCAAATAGATACTCTCTCACTTTGTTATCTGATCAAAAACAAGCCATTCAAATGATTATAATTTATTGCACTTAAATTTTTATAGAAATGGCATCTGATTAGAAATTTAAAAACAAATCTCTTCAGCGAGGTTTACATCATTTATAGATTGCCCTTTCTGAATTCGATCATTTTTTTGGTATGGATAGCATACTAACGTGCAAATTCATGTTACTGCATTTCTTATTTTAAAAGTTATCATTTTGTGAGATTAAATTTCATACTCTCTCAATATAAGAAAGAGGAGAAGAACTGAGGAAGTGAAAGGGATGATAGAAGTTATGTTGATTTTTAGACTGCAAAAGGAAAAGAAGTGTCTTCTTATTTCTGCATAATTAACATCTGCTGTTATGGCGTGGATAAAAATGTTTCTCAATGTTCTTTTATGCCTTTCCCAAGCTTCTAGTATCAGTTATCATGTGCTACTTCTTCATAACTAAATATAAAATATATTATATTTTTTTCTTGTTTTAATTCAGTCTTTTAATATTCAACAACGTAGCCGCAAAAAAAAAAAATAAAAATAAAAAAATTGAAAATGGAGATATCTGGTTGGTAGATTAATATTTCACCTCATTGATTTCAAAATTTGAGCTGTAAATGTTTATAGTCTAATTTCTAAGTATTATAACTTTCAAATTTTTTGTTAGTTTCAGCCTAAATTACAGACCAATTCGTTTCTTCCATAATTTATAGAATCCTTCCCAGTAATTAAGCATCAATTAGTTGTATATTTTTCCTATCTCTCACATGGATAAACATTGGGCAATGCTACCGTTTTGCAATTTTATGTTTTATAATAAATTTTTAATAAAATATCAAACTTCGCAACCTTTTTCGACACTCTTTTCATGTTAAAACAAAAAGCAATGCTTCAATACAGAAGTATTTAAGAACAGAAAGGCAATAACAATTGACTTTTCATTTCGAGGAACTATTCAATATTTGAAATTTCTTGTGTCACAGGATAAGTGATTTAGAAATTAACGAAAGAATTTTTAAGTTTTATCAGATTTTGATCATGCCATCAAGAATAATTTCAGTTTCTTCTTTCTTTCCACATTCTGCAGTTTTCTAAGTGTCCTCAGAAGTTCATATAGGCAAGAAATCAAAAATAAGAAGCGTGCGTCATCTTACGCTGGCCAAATTGCATTTGACAAGAGGGCATTTGTAATTACAGGTAGAGCAGTTGATGCCAAAATCGAATAAATCGTATTCAGAGATGTTCTCCAACACGACTGCAGTAAGCCAAAAAACAGCAAAAATTGAGCAATGGGTAAAGCATCGTCTCCAGGAGGTATGCTTACTGATAACCATTGGTCAAACTTATATGACCAAATGATATCCTGTGGAGGGATTTGATGCGGGTGTTAACGGGAGAGAAGGATATGATGAAGTTTCGTGCAACAATGAATTTGTGGAAAAAAGGAAGAAAGGGATGTGGTGAGAGAAGTGTAATTAACCTTGAAAATGCAGAAAGTAGTCATTGTGCCTCCTTTTCGTTACTTATCATCCTCCTTCATCTGACCATTCCTTTGTGGCATTTCAACCTCACATTCGCAAGCAGCCATAGTTTTTGTATGATTTCGTAGTTGTGTAAGAGTGAATGAGAGTTGCTGTATATGTCGAATTATGTGGTAGAATTGACGTTCTAGAAATTTCAAATAAATCGAGTCATCCAGTTACGAACCATTCTGACAATGGTTGGTCACTCGGGAATTGTGAAATGTTTCATGGGTGCGATTAATGTGTTGTTCTCAACAAAATCATCCTATTTTTATGCTCGGTATAATTCAAATTATTCCAAACTTCCTAATAAAAATAAAGCCCTTTCTCTGATTTCTTTCTCGAATGTTTATACGATACTGCATATGACTTCATTGAACAAACTGTAAACTTTGATATGTTATTATTTCAAGAGGAAGGTTGGGAAAAACTTCCGTAACTAATTAAAACTAATCAGCATTATCACAAATATTTTTTCACCTATCAACACATGATTTTGCTTTTTCCATTTTGCGTCCAGCTGTCTCACGGTCATCTGAACCATTACGAAATCTAGTCACTTTCGTCCTATCCTTCCCTTATATGCAAAACATGCGAATACTTCTAGCCTCTTTCCATCTTTGCTCAGTTGTAATTCTAAGACTGTTCAATAAGTCCGCAATCATTTTATTTCAGGTCCTTAGCCTGTCTGGTTCCACTTGTTTGTATTTAAAATGATTTTTCCGGTGTTTTGAATTTTTCTGAATCCACACAGATATTTAATTTATGAAATCTCGGTAAGACAACAATAAATTTCCAATTCTGTACTTTTTAATATATACTCATTGTATTCCAAATTCATTTAAACATTTAATGTAAGAAGAACCGGTCTTGTGGATGACCTTTGTCGAATTCTCCTCGAAATATTCCATCCTCAGTTTGTTCTTCCCTCTTTTGGCGCAACGTTCTCAGTATCACCCACTTTCAATTATCAACTCTACTATCAGTAATGCTCTTTCTTGCCTAAATCAATTAATGCTCCGAAACAAGCATTTCATTCATAAAGCCTAATTTAAGTCCCCTTATGACATTTTTGATTTCATTAATTAATCCACCTTTTAATGCAGCTTTTAATATCATATATGATTTCAGGTTAGTTTTATCATCCTGTCAATGATGTATTTGATTGTTTAATCTGTTTCATAGTCCATTTAATTAACAGAGCAATTATTCCTCGTCTAAATGGAGTGCTTTTTCTGAAGGAAGTTCTTTAATTTAACACATTTTGATTAAACATTTTAAAATTTTTAACTAAAATTTTCGAAATGATTGTATTAGTTACTGTCCTTTCGATTTTTTTAATTTCTTGCTAAGTGCAATATTGTCAAATTGAATTTCTCAATCATTAAGTTCCTCTTACTTCATTAACACAAAGTAGAATTTCTTTCTATGTTTTCTGAAAAAGATGGCAATGAATTTGTCAATGAGGGAAATCTTCTTTTATTGTCTTCACGGTCCCCGTATTTCGATATTCATATCCGAGACCCATATTCTTCCGTTGCCATCCATCTTTGCACTGTTTATTCTTTCTGCGGTAACTTCCCATCCTCTCTTCTCTCCTGCAACTGTTGAACTCCTTTCTAAAGTGGACTTTTCCAAATTATGGCAAATCTTGTTGATAAATTTAAACCTCCGAGAATTTGCAGAACATGAAAAGTAGAATGGTAGCTATATACAGAAATGAAATAGCAAATATCATTAATTAATAGTTTCTCAATTTCTTGCATTATAGCTTCAATGGTGATCTCTACTGAACTGGTAACTCAATGGATACTTCTTCTTGTCCATCATTTACTTATTGAAGTGTGATATTTTTTAACTATTTAGTTATTTCTCTTTATCGCTTTCCTTAATTGCTTACTTCACTATTCCATTTTCCTCTCTGAATTCTAATCCCTTGTCTGCTTCAGTCACTCATCTTCCTTTTGGAGGCTAATCCATCTAGCGCAATAAGCATTGCATCTCGACACATCCCGCCTACCCATCAGTCGTTCATATCAAATTTTCTTTCTTTTTTTTTTTTTTTTATTCCTCTACTACAATAGTTTATAAAGGATTTGTGAAAGTGCGGGGTAATTCGATAACATTTGCATAAGTGCTATGCTGGAACGGGTGACACTTGATGTGCAACGTCATCCGCCTATATCGGAGATGTTGGAGAAGCCCTCCAAAAAAGAATAAAATGCTTTGATGATGTGCTTATTCCATAGTCGTTTTGCCTCTCTCCACTAGTCCTTCTTCAGTGAAGCAAGCATTTTCTTCCATATCATCTTTAAACATTGCTAAGTTAGCTGTGTCTTGAAAATTTCTCATTTTTATTTTGATCATAAATGAGTAGATGTTAGGCAGATAACTGTTAGATCAGTTTAAATCAGTTTTTCTTGATATTATTTCATTCTTTAATTACTTTCTGTGGAATCTCCGGAAAGGATTGTAAGAATTTCATTCATATTTTTTCCTTTTTTTTTCAGGATTAAGGGAGAAAGAGAGATGAGGTTTAGCATTATTCTAAGATTTCTATATAAAAGTTTTCTGAAAACGTTCGTTGCGGATATCGATTTTTGCCGGATAAGTTACTAATGTCTATCCAAATTTGGCCTTGTCGTCATTGTTGATAGATATGATATAACATCAAACTGGCAATATTTCTGAACTTTGTCACTTGTTCTTCAAATGTCATCCTAACAGTCAGTTCACTGATTCAATTTTAACAAAGAAGCAGCTGAATAAGCTATGTACTGGCAACATTGCTTGAACTTATACACTTGGCACAATTGACTGTAAATGAAAAAATGGAAGAGGGTGGAATGAATGAATGATTGATTTGTTGGGACTCACATATCGACGACCGTCGACCCATTTCTCATACCACATATCATGTTTGTTCCTCATTATTTCATTCTCCTCAACTAAATCCGCCATCTTTTTTTTTCTGATAAACCTTGATCTGTCTACAAATACGGAACATCTCGACAATTAACATAAATACATAGATTTTTCTCGTACGTAATTGGAAGAAAGGAAAGTTTTCAAAGTGATTCCTAGGGCCATTTATATTAACGGTCATACAGATTGATTGAAAATGTTTAATTAACTATGTTTAATTTGTTGACTTTTCAGTTAATATACGTTACATGCTTGCATTTTCCCGGAAACTTTTCTTTCTTTCCTACCATAGGACAACTATTATCCGAATTACATTATAGCAAGTGCTTGGTATTAAAATTTTTGATGAAAAGTCCGTGTGAAACAGGATGGTTTAGATTTTTTGAATCTAACAAAGAGTGATAGTTCTAAGAATAGTTTTTGTTTGAACGTCAGAGGTCAATTTCTAAGTCATAACCTTGAACATTGCTAACTAATAGCTTTTTCTCTCAAACCCATTGTTCTCACAATTCTACTTTATTAAATTTCACTTTGGCTGCTATGGCAACGATACTCTCTTCTCATTAGTTTAATTATCTTGGTGTTTTCACATGGATTATAATAGATGGTTTTTTGCGGTTTACTTGAAATGTTGTGTCCTTGATTTTATTTGGCTTTGGCAATAAAATTTTTTCGAAGGGTTTAGGGAAAAAATTGATTCTTTTCAGTGATGTAAGCTAATTAAGCTTAATAAAAGTACTCAGCGAATTTGGTAGTAATTGAGATGACATAGTAAAAAACCATTTTAGACTGAATGCAATACTATTTAGTACTATTTCAATTTGGAAGTGAGGAAAGAGTAAGTTATGCTGATTTAATTGCCCCCAATTTCATAACCCTTCTCCATCCAGAGAAAAACATTAGTTTCATTTTTTATCTCCATATCTTTTGACCCCCAGAAGAGACCTTTTCATCATTGTTCCTAATGAATGAAAAGAGTGTTTAGGCATGAGATAACACTCATATGTAATGAAAAACCTTTATATTTGTTAGAATGTGAAGAGGTGATTTTTCGTAAAGTTGAAGAGATTAAATTTGCAGTTATATGTGGCAGGTGGTTTATTACTGCACTTTTGTCTCTTTTCATCAAATAATCCGTGAATTGACATTCATTTGTTAAAGATCGAGCAGATGAGGGAGAGAGACTTGTAGAATGCTTGGCTTTGTTATTTCTAGCGACACGGTTTCTCTTATTTCTTGCCTTCTGTCGGCATGCTTTGAAGATGGACCTGTGCTGGATTAATCGTTGTCGTTGGTGTCGATGACGCTAGGCGGGAGTATTCCGAAGAAAGAAGAGACACCAAAATGTCGCCCCTTTTCCTATTCCACTAAGAAGCTAACAGTGCGGCCTTGGTTTTGTCACCGGAGGTGGCCAGTATCTGAAAATCAGTCATCCGAGATTTCCTGCGATTTCCAATTTTAAACAATTTTTGCATTTCCAAAAAGACCTATTTATGAAATGTGTTTCGTTGTGCAGGATGAAAAAGTAGCAATCGGTTTCTTACAACCATTCCTATATTAGATCTGAAGAACAGTCTAATATTGTTCATTAGAAGAAATAATGTACCGTATCATTTTAGCTTTTAATTTCTTCTGGTTTTCTGGTAAAAATTACAGTCTTGCCAAGCTACTTTACTAGCCTGAATTGGAATAGATATGCAAACATCTGGGCTCTTTCCCATGGATATTTTGCAAACTTCAGGGTAAAAATAATCAAATTTTGTTCTGATTTTACCTCTAAGCTATATTTTCAGTACTGCGATGATATAGAATGTCGATACTTAACGGGATCTTTAATGAGAAGATTTAAATGCAAAGTCTAGGTAAAGTGATGAAATGAAGCCAAGTGGTGGAAATCAGTGGCACAACAATAAATGATTCTTTTTGAAAATATCAAAAAATCTTCGATGACAAATCATAAATTGCTTGTAAGTGATCATCAAAAAATTAGCGATAAGCTTTCCCTAATATTGTCCGCAACAAAAAATAGAAATGAGCTTGTTAGTCCTAAATTCACAACTAATTAGTGGGTTTGCTCATTCGACGATTTCAGAAGCCTATTTCATCAGAACTAGAGAGATTATATATATAGATAGTTAGGTGTAAAAAATAGCTATCTTGAGTTGACCTCGATTCTAGATAATGTATGAATAAGCCCAAGTATCAAAATGACTAGGACAGTCTCTTTTTCCAATGTTTTTTTATCTCCACTTATTCTATATTATCTACTACTACATAGCTCTAGTTATGTTGTGAAATTTTTTCAAATTTAATTCTGAAATATATTGAAACCCACTGCTTTCTCGAATTATATCTCACAGATTTGTGGAGGGGAAGGGATGGAAAGGTGTTGAATGCGACTTTTAATCATTTTCAGTTATATTGTTCATGTTACTGTTTACCACATTATCACTTCATTTCGACAAATGTTCGCACTTTACCAAAAGATTTTCAAGTTACACAGGACATACTTTTTCTTTGATTCGTATTTTAACGATACTCTAAATTGCTTAACTAATTTTCGATTTAAATCGTTCGATAAAGCGAGAGAGTTCTAAATAGTGTGATTTTATTGCTAATGATTAATCAGTTTTGCTAATTCCTACCATCGTTTTGTAAACACTAAATGGAGCTTAAAAGTGGAAAGAGTGGCAGATGAAAGGATGGATATATATGGTTCTGAGTTCAAATTCCTTTTTGTAAATCAATTGAAAGACTCGATTTGCAGCATTTATGTAAATATGCTTATAAATTTAACGGATATTTTTGTAGATCGATGCTTATTCAGTTCAAATTCTTTCACTAGTGGTCTTAATCTCTTAGCCTTTCCTTCTTCTGAACATAATGGAATCTAACTGTGAATATTCGGAAGAGCGTAGGACTAGGCATGATACATTTGTCCTTAGGGAGTGTTTGTGGCCAACGCTTTCCGCATCAATTCGCGTAAACAGAAATGTATGGACCAGATAAGTACGCTTCAGGAAGGGGGATGAATCTCTTAAAAACTGATTTGCTATATGCTAATCGTTAAAATTTGTTTGGAATTGTCTTTTTTTCTCTTCCCTTGATTTAATGCTATCCTTTTCATCATTTATATTGTTACTCTGATGATCACAATGAGTGGTACTGACCGATCTACTCGAACAGAGGAACTTTACGCATGCATTACTTCCCATCCGGTAGCCAAGAGGATATTTTTAGCTTGATATCCTTAGCATAGGGTAATATATCAACCTATACGAATCAACGAAATATTCTAAATTTCAGCTATCGTTTTTCTTTCTGTCTTCTAGAAGAATGAACGAATAAAAAGTGTGCGTAAGGAAGCTTTGATCATATAAGCATTCTGTTGTATATTCTTTCCCTCTGTTTGTTTACCTAATGTCAGTTTTGGTTCTAATCCCATTTGTCACTTCTAACTTCTAACAATACTTTCTCTTCTGAAATCATCAATTTATAGTTATGGATACAGGAAAAACTTTTTGATATCTACGAACCGTGTCATAATGCAAGAAGATGAAAGGATGTTGCTGTTGAATATAGACCAAAGATATTATAATTCTATCATTTCTTGGTAAACAACTCATTCATTCTAAATTTCAAAATCTAGTTCCTTTTTGTCAGATTCTTCCCTTGTAGGCCAACAATGTTTGTAAAGCAGTTTAAATTCTTCCCAGTCTCGAGAATACGAGATGACAAGTGTTATAATTGCTCCTTCTGAGAAATTGCTTTTTCATTTTTTACGATTAATAGTGCTATTGTTGTTATATACACTGTTGGGACATGTGTAAAACATGCGATATTTTAGTGAGTGAATAATATATATCATTGTCTCATCGAACATTTCCCATATTTCGAGGACAGTTTCTAAACTTCACATCTCAAAATTCTGTTAAGTTGAGGGAAATTTCTCGACTACAATTTCCGAAGGCCACTTTTTTGTCATTCATTCTACTTTCGTCTTTTCTTGTCTTCTGTAAGCCGAAGTCAACTAATTACGTAAAAGAAGAAAAGGTCTCTTTACTGAAAATAAGAAGAGGAAAAGATAAAATAAAGGAGATCGTCATGACTAATGGGGCGCAATATATCTTTCTCTTTTTCTCTCTCTAGTTAGATTCTAAATTTACCAAGATGGAAAACTCAGTGAATCAGTGTCCCTCATCCAGCCTTTTCTTATACTCATTCTTCGTCTTGCTTTTGTATACCGGACTGGATTGACGCAGCACTTAAAATAGTTAAAATTAACTGCTGTAGGTGTTTGGAGTTGCTATATGGCTTTGCACCTGCCAGATAATAATGTCAATTAGCAATAGCAGCATAGCTTCTGAAACGGGAAGTGATGTGTGTCAAGACGGATGACAGAATCAGGGGTTAGGATTAGCGGAACTCGTTTCAATTACAATTTACTACGTTGTTGCTGCGAATGAGAACTGTCATGAAAATTTCTGTGCTAAAACATTTTCATAATTTTAAAGTTATTCATGATTTTGATGTTGTAGTTTGGTTAATTCTCAGAGGGAACGAGGAAATGACAAATCGTAAAATGCTTATACCAGGCGGCATATGTAACAATATTGTCTCATCCCTAGCACAGAGAGAATTTATCTAGAAAGAATCTGATATCGTAATTTGAATTGGATTTGCGGATGAACGAAATGATTCGAAATTGCAACCACTTGTACATTATCTCACATCCGTTTTGGATATTTATTGCTGTCATCCAAACATGATCAATCCACTTTTTCTATACAGTTCTTTAACTTCTAAAAATATAATCAGAGTTTAAAAATATGTGTCGAGTTGTTTCAAAGAGCAAAAATATGAATAAATTAAAATTTATTATGGAAAGATGTCAGAAAGTACAATCACTTTGGCTGATCGTATTTTACAGGAACTTGGAGTTGTTCTTTCTAATACTTTGCATCACAGTTGATTTCCATCTTTGATTGCTAAAATTATAATTAATGATCTCGTTGAACTGTTTCATAATTCTGTGAAAGTGCTGCTCATTTCTTTTTCGGTATTTTAGTTGCAACGAAATATGGCACCTGGTTTATCCTCTTTCATTACAAAACTTTTTGTGTTTTTCTATCCTTTTTCTGATTTCTTTTAAAAAAGAATTTTTTTTAATCAAAAGCAAAGCATAACTTCAACATACTTCCCTAATTATGAACTGTCAATCTTATTTTTACTCATATCTCTCAATTCTCATCAGTTATGCTGACATTCATGAAATTCATTTCTTCTCATGTGGCATTTGTTGCGAAATGATTGGGACGAAATGTGAGGTTAAAAAGCTGAGAACATAAAAATTATTCATATTAAAAATCTGCCGAATTCGAGATATGAAAGTGTCGAAAACCGGACATTCATGAATCTGTCATTATTTCAGAGAGATTGAAATGACAGCATCTTTTTGTTTCACATGTGAAGCGTCAAATTGTTCGTAAGATAGAGATTTGTTTGTAGACAATGTAATTGATTCGAGAACTATGAAGTAAATGTAGATTGTTCAGATATTTTTAAGCTAAAAGACGACAATGAAATTGTATATCATATCAGTCTGACCACTGCTCTTATTATTACTAATCATATTCAAATTCAAGGAATGGAGATGGAGTGAAGGGACGTAGAGACACAAGGTAGGAGTAAGAAATGCATTCGTGACACTGGCTTCAAAACACTAGTCTTTATTGTGCAAGGGATTGGCTCACTTAAATAGCCTTTTGGTTTTGTGGTGGAGTCGTACCACTACTGATTTTGTCGACTTGATGAATAGATTTAGTGAATTGGAACTGGAACCTTTTATGCGAATTCTTCTCTTCCCATTATGCATGCAGTGATTTAAACAGTGGGAGGAAATTTTCTGTAAGACGAAATGATAAATGGATAGTTATTGTTAATTAGAGTGGGAATGAAAAGCAAGTACAGTGACAATTATGCATTTTTGCGCACTTTGATAAATAACTGACATTACCTGTTTTGTTTTGAAGCCAGGGTCACCGGTACTCATTACCCGTCACTTGGCCTCTACATCTTTTTTTTCGTTTTATCATGAAGTCCAAGCATGGTTTTAGCCTAGACATTTAGTTGTCCAGACTTATCCATGTTAGGTAAGGACCTTCGTTCGCTAAACTGTCTCGGGTAAAGTATAACTTCTAGTTGTAAAAATCTAAGTTTGAATTTTCATTTTTAATTAGTACTTATAACTGGCTTTTATTATTAAGTCTACATTTACACTCCTAATGAAGTGTTTTCCTCATATTATTACCAGTAGTAAAGTAAATTCAAGAAAAACTTGTTGTAATATTTGATTCACCCAAGTCTGCAGTGTTTTCGTGAAATTTAGTATCGATTATGTAATTTAGTGGGAGAAAATTCTGATTACAAATACGTAATCTTCTGGCTTATTTCAATTTCAATTAAACTTTAGCGAGTGATTAGATTTGAAGTAATTAGTAGTTGCATCCGGTTGGTGGTGGACACAAATTTATTCCCATTATAGTATACATAATTGCATTTAGATGGTGAGAGGCTATCTTTATTCTTACTGTTCATTGGCTACAACAAGCCAATTCACCAATTGTCTTATGGATTTTTAGTTGGCTTCGAGCAAAACAAAGCTATCTTTAAATACAGTTTCATGTAGTGTATCGAGAAACACATTCTCTCTATTATCTTATTGTTAACTTCACAGTCTTATGCTTTTCTTTGCCTAACCGGAAAATCTCGAAGGAATGCGATGTATTCACTCAAAATAGATATCATGTTCTTAAAACACGTGATCTCTATTAGTTGCTCTCTTTATGTATCTCTGTGATTTCGAATTTCATCAAAATTTTAGTTTCAATAAATGATGCGCTTATCTTAATAGAAAAGGGAGTGTCTAATATATCAGCGAATTAGTCAAAGGGAAACTTGATTATTCGCTATATACTTCTCTGTTACCGAGACTGCTGGCATGTTTTCAAACTCTAGCAAATTTAAGATGCATATTTGGAATTCTATTATTTCCTCCTTGACCATCGCTTTCCAATAGTGGTTTATTTTCTAGACTGCAAAGTTTTCTTTCTCTTGTTCATCCAAGACGTTAATCTATGTTTCTTCCCGTTATTGCAAAGTGACATGAATTACTTAACTAAGGTTAACAGAGACTTGATTTTATTCTACGACATTAACTGTCCTCTCTTTTGTCGCTTATTACATCAGGCCACCTTTCGTTGTTCGTTGATATCATCTTTCATTTTAACTTCCTGTTTGAATAGGCACTTTTCGACCGATCTTATTCCATCTTAATCATTTAAAGTGAAGCGAAAGTGAAGTTTTTTAGTTTAAACTTTCCTGTGCTATTCATCTCATATAAAAATAAGGACATAAATGAGGAATATGCAAATGAGATGATAGAGAAAGACAAAGCAAAGAGATTAGAGAGTGATCACAGAGTCACGAAGAAATGATGGATAGCAATATCAGTAAGGTTGCTATCACTTCATCAATTCTCATTTTTCCATTCTTCGATTTTTTGGCTATTAGCTGACTTATACTATCACTATCGGCTAATATGAACATTTTGTATACCAATTCTTGATGAGATGAGACGAAACAATTGTCAGCAATACAAGGAGACAATTGCAGTTGTACTTGTTCTCCATTTTTTGAATTTATATTAGCAAGATTTCATAAACTTTCAATTCTAATTTTGTTGCTTTCAGTCTCTTGATAATTCCTACTTACGACTATCTTTCACGAATTCCATGCTTCATATTTCAAATTCCTTTATTTTTGGTCCATCTCAGAATTGTCAGTCTGTCTTTCAATTGCATAACATTTGTTAAATTACTTCAAATATTTTCTCGGATGAATAAAATTAGTGATTCGAGAATACCGTGTAACAAATAAACATTCAGCATTTGAGAAAAGCCTTTAGAAGATGTAGTGAAAACTTTGAAATTTACTCAATGAATCTTTTGACGTGTCAACAACCGCTGGCTACTGGTAAACAGTGACAAAATTAGTTTCTGTCAGGGCCGAATTCATGTGCTTGCTGTGGCTTGTCCCTCTTTGTCGTCTAAGTCATTACTGGTAACATTCCTCTTGCTGTCATCCCTTCTCTGCAAGAATAGCTCTTCAAGAAATGCGTATCTGA